AAACACAGAAGCTCTTTTAGGCAAAGGCTATGCAGTAGAAGCGGAAGTTTAGGAGGGATCTAAATGAGGTAAGGGTAGAAGGGACTGCATTATGCTGTATGTGATAGACTGGCAGAGGCTGTGTGTTTAAATGTAATGCAGCATATGATTGTCCTAGTGCTTGCAGGCTTTAGTTAAATCCTTACAGATTTTATTTCTGTATGTACATGTAGAACTGAATGCTTGCTCTGGATAGTCTGTGAATGCACTCTGGTATGTGTTTTGTTGCTCAGGCCAAGCTATTTTTCATTAGTGCATTGTTATTACTGGTGGACTCAGAAAAACAAAGGAGAGTAGCATTCTTCTGTGCTTGCTCTTATTCTTGTTAAAGCCAATGGCATAACCTCTGCTGAGCAGCCACAGATGGTGCCTCTCCACAGGCTAACTCTGTAAATAGCTATGCCAGGTGAAGACTTTTCTCTGCCCGCAGCTCTGAAAATGGAAGAATAGATTTGGGTGCTGCCTAATCCAGGAAAGTTAGTCCTAACCTGATGTGCTTTGCTTGAAGAAACTTTTGCAGGTTCCCCTCTGCCAAAGAGCTTTTGGAGTCCTGGCAAGCAGCTGGAGGGTGGTAACATCTTTAGCCGGAATGACTAAATCTGGTACGGGACTTCTGTTAAAATCTTAATCATTTTCACGTTCCTGAAAGATAATAAAATATATAGGAGCTAAAGAAGGAGCAAAGTTTACAAGTGTCTTAATCGAGCAGTGTGACTTTCCCTGGTGATGACAGACTTGACAGGGCAGCATGACACGCACCAACCTGAAGGGTACATGAAAGAACTGGATGCAGACGTATGGACTTTGGGTCCAATGTGTGCCAAAAAATATCCTGCTATGGATATTGGTTGCACAGAAAAAGAACATTGAAATAATATGAAGTTTGCAGCATTAAAATCAAATAAGGAAATAGTATCAGCATTTCCCTCGAGTATTTGCTGGTTTTCAGAGTACCTGCTTGATATCAAAATGCATAGTATATTTAACTACCTGTTAAATCAGATCTAAGTATCATACTATGTGTGCCAAGCATCCAGAAGAGCATTGCTACTCAAACTTTTCCTTTTGTTTATCTTGTATTCCTTATCTTGTTATTTTCACAGTCTTGGAAGACAGGGTTTTTTGACATCCATTTCCTTTATGTGAAAATACTTATCGTTTTATAGTATCTTTTTTGGTGTTTAAGTAGTCCCTGTTTGAAACCTGTGCAATTCACACCTCACTAAATCCAGCAGGGCACTAACACAGCTGTCCTGGAATTTTGGGTTTGTGAGACTCTTTCAAAGTAGTGTGACTCTGCTGAAGATGTTTTTTGTTGTGTGCTACAATTATTCTTCTTAGCTTGTGGCTAGCCTTGGAAACTGCAGAGCTGACTTCCAGTTTATCTTTTAAAACTTATATTCATACCTGCATTTCCTGATATAAAAGCAACAGTGGTTCTGAGCTCTAAACTTATGGCACATAAATCAGATGTGCGAAGAAGCATCTTAAGGCTCCCAGGAGAAGGGACAAAGATTTTTTGTGTGGTTTAACGTGTTGGTGGGGGGAATTGGAAGATTCCACTGATTGGACTGGTTTTGAACAAGCTTCAACTGGTTTTGCTGTGTCCCCATCTAAAAAGGGGAGATGTGAATTATTGTTTGTTCTTGTCATTAGAAGGGAAGTATATTTTGCATTCTTCTATAACAGCTTGTACGTAGCTGAGCAAATTCTGCCCAGATTCATATATGCAAAGCTCAAACTCTTCGTGTTTGAAAAAAATTAAGCACTGAAATTTTACCTCTGCCATAGACCTGAGAATATGAGACTGAAATACAGGCTTATAACAAAAGTGGCCCTAGCAAGAAGCATTATAAAAAATAACTTCCCAAACAACATGTAGAAAAGACTGTAAAGCTGCACTTGCATTTTACAATGTCTTCTACTTGGGTGCCTCAAGGAAAGAGTTGAGCCTTTATACAGTCTACAAGTCACTGATGTTGATTTTTGGTTTGTGTTTTGGTTTTTTTTGTTTGGTTTTTTTTTTTTTTTAATGTATCTGAGGATTCTTTTGAAACCTTCTGGCTTTCTTTTTGTAGTGTTTTGAAGTGGGCATTCACTCTCATGACCTCTACTGTTGGATTCTTTCCCTGCCTCACCCTGAGTCTAGAAGCTGGAATTAAGAGGTGTTTGTGCACATGGGTGCTGGCAGTGCGGGTGGGGGACTTGTGTTTGAAGTTTTACCTAAAGCAGATCTTCTCTGGATTGCTGGGTACCCCAGTGGGGAGCAACTAAGGTCATGCATCCTGCTGTCTAAAGCCAGAGAGGAACGATGAAGTGCTGACTCCATTCAAGGTTCATCCATACTAGCTAACTGTGGTGTGCTAGCAAGTTCTCATCCCTTCATCCTCCACGCAGAAAGTAGAAGCATGGGCGACTAATGTATGCCCAGGTCTTGCTCTGCTGTGGAGATAGGATGCCAATGATAAGCATTGGACCTGGACCTGAGAACTGAATAGAGCTTCCCAGCTACCTGATTGAGATGGGCCCAAAGTGTCCTCTTGATTTAGACTACACTGTGGGGTTTTGCTAGGCTTCAGTTTGGCCTATGGCAATGTAGTTTGGCAGGGATGATGCTGTTCTATACAATGCAAGGCTTGACGGAGTAGTGTTTGAAGAACTTTAGATGTCAGCAATATAGAGCAACAGAGAACAGTCTGACAGTGGTAATGCATTCAGGATCTATGTAACTATGCCTTTGTTAAAGCTGAATTTTTCAAAAGTGACTGTTGGATTTAGGTGCCCCTGTTTTGGGACCTTGATCTGCTGTGCCTCAGCCTGATTATTCTGTGTACTGAGCTTCTAAAATTCCTTCCAATTGCAATGGGAAGTGTAAAATGTTTTACAGCTCTCAATATTAAAACCCAAAACATCTTGTACTGGCCAGCCCAAATGGGAGGGCAGAAACTCAAAATTTTGTTTATTCGGTCAAGTAATTTTTTATCTGAGATCTGATTCAATGAAGTGAAGGTGAAGGACCAGAATCTAGCAGGGAATTGAGTGTGCTTCCACACTGGAGCTCAGCCTGTCAGATACTTGTCTTTTTGCTCCTCTTTATTTGTAGGTCTTCATCTGTAGATATCAAAGTGCTTTAAAGTGCAGTGTTAAGTATTTTTATCTCTGTTTTTTTAAAGCTGGGGGATATGCAACAGTGGTAAAGTGACAAGCCAGACTTCACACAGGGCAGTAGCTCAAATGAGGAAAACATCTAAATGTTGTGAGTCTTTGCCCAGTGCTTCATCAGGCCCCTGTCCTGCCAGTAGGGCATTTTTCTGAAAAACTTGTTGACTAAATCCTGCCAGCTTAGACACAAATTGTATTGACAAGAGGTGAATTATGCATGCAGCAGGGTTTGGCCCAAAAAGAAGAAATTACTTTATCTTCCCACATAATCAATAGCTGCAGTTGAACCGAGACCTTGGCTATATGATGTGGTGGGACCTTGCCTTTCTTTAGAAGAGCTTCTCCTGTTGAACTAACTTTCTTTACTCCAGCAAAAGCAGCAGCTGCAGTACAGTGTAGACATGCCTAAACTAGCTTAAGTAGTTCAGGTACTGTTAGCCACTGAGCCAAAGAACCATGGAGTTCAGCATGGGCTTGGTGCCTGAGGATTTTATCCTGCTCTTTATGAGTTCAGAATTTCTTTACCATCTCAGCTCAAGCAAGCCTAGCAATATGTTGAAAATAAGGCTGGTGAATCTGGTACTCCGCCTGCACTCGTACTTTTGCCTGCAGAGCTGAGCATGGTGCTAGGGATGATTGTAGGAGATACTGCCAAAGTATCACAGCATAGTGAAAGCTGTTTCACCTCCCTCTGCCTACTGTTCTCCCTCTTCTTCCCCACCTTTCTCCTGGTATTCACCAGGAGCTGCCTTGTGTTTGACTCCATTTGCTATGAAACTGCATAGCCATTAAGGTTCTGCTGGAGATCATTAATATCTAGGAGTTAGCAAAGGCTTGGAGAACCAGCTCTCTCCTGGAAAAGCTTTTGGCCTTGCCTGGCTGTGGCTCTAACAGGAGAACCTGTAGAGGTTAGGTATGGAAAAATCCAGGACCAATACCCCTATGTCTATTAACGGGGACCAGGGCAGAAACATTCCTGATGTATTCTCTCAAGTCTTTGCCCAGATGGTGGTCTCCCAGATCAGCCTTTGCAAAAGGGCTGTGTTGA